ACACTTTTATTGGCAATTACTTGCTGAAGGTCGCCCAACAGTAGCGAGGCTGAGTTCCAGGAATAAAAAAAAAAAAAAAAAGCTCAGTACTTATGTAACCAGAGTTGGCAGGAACCCAGGAATCGTGCAGCTTGCAGGAAAACTAGGACACAGCCTCAGTGAGTGCCGCTGCCCCTCACGTTCATTAAGCTCACAGATGGGTGAAACATGCACGTGGTCACAGTGCCTCCTACTGCTGCAGACAGGAAACAGCCAACAACAGGATGAAAACAAAACCCATGGATACGCAGAAACTCAAAGTGATGTGGCTTTCATACCTTCAGTTCTATAAAAGCAGATATGAAAAGCAAATCTGATGTGAAACACAAGCCTTTATAACACTTTGAGCTCAATAAAGAGTTAGCTTTAATGCATGAAAAACAGCATGTTTCATTTCAGAACTCCTTTGTTCTTCCAAATTTCTAGCTTTTTTTGTTTTAGCTCGTTTTCTGAACGATGCTTGCTTTTAACTGCTAACTACAGTATTTATTAGTGCACACAACATTTGTAAGTGTTTTTCTGTTTGTTAGAGAGGTGTTTAAAATTTTGCCATTACCTGTAAGAGTCAACTTTCTCTGATACTTAGGTCTGTCACGATAACAAATTTTGCTGGGCTATTAATTGTCTCAGAAATTATTGCGATACACAATAATATCGTTTGAAATTCAATAATTAGTAATTATTGTCAAATTTAAGAAGAAATGTTGGATATTTTTTGTGTGTGGTGCCTTTTTTGACCACTGATGGCAGTACAAAACTGTTTGAACCGAAGGATGGATCGTGAGGGAGCGAGCAGCGTGTCTCTTTAAGAAGAATGGGAGGGAGGCCCCTTGACGTGACATGGGCTGTCTCTCTTTCTTGTTATTCGGTTCTCAAAATGGTGGATGCTCAGTGTGGTTTGAGCTCTTTAGCATAGCATTTTTCACACAAAGCTTTTAATTTAAAACAAATCAGTAAACAATTTCTCAGCTTCTTTTTGCAGAAAAAAACAACTTTTTAGACGAAGGCACGGGTTTCATCCGTGAATTTTGGAGCTTCGACAAAACAAAGGTTTTTCTCTGAGGTCGGCCTGTTAGCTTAGCTTGTAGCTTAGCTTCTCAGCTTAGCTGCGTCTAACGATCCAAAAACGCAATTTTGGATGATTAAAACAGATTTTAAAGAGAAAGGGAGGGGTCAGTGAAGAGCACCACAGTTGTCTTCCAGTGTCTTCAGTAGAAACAGAGAGACACAAAGAAACAATAAAGCCGATGAAAAAAATGTAAATGAAATTGATAATTTTCATTTACCATGCGATTAACTGACTTATTGTTTATTGCCTACTGATACTAAAATGATTCATGAAGCATTGAACGAATTTAAGAGAAACCTTTTGAAAGCCATCATCGCACAGCTACTAACGAATAGTTGGAGCCAGTCCAATTCAAGATGGCTGCCACAGTCCTTCATTGTGTTCTTTTTTGGCCCCTAGAGGAAATCATTTAAAATGCATTAGCATTTATGTCATAAGAGGATCAGTTTCACTGTGAATGAATGAGGCATCTTCTATCAATTGCTTCACTTTTGCCGCATTCATAGCGGCAACGTGTACGTACGATTCAGCGCTCAGTGAGGCATCTACATATATATGTCTATAATCCACAGCAAGTGTGAGCTGACCGAGGATGTACTACGTCTTTATTCTTGCATTATTTCGACTTTATTCTCGTAATATTATTACTTTTTTCACGTAATGTAATTAATTTTTTTCTTAACATGGCCCTAAATCTCTGTCGTACCTGGCTGAGTGTTTGGTCCAAAAACAAGTTTTTTCTTTGTTTTTGTTCTCCATTTTTCTAAAACTTGTTCTCTAACTCTTTAATAAACAAGAAAGCAGGAGGAGGCTGCGAGAAGAAAAGAGGGAGGGGATGAGCTCATTTAAATAGTCAGGTGATGCCAGACAATTAATTCTGAGCTACTTTACATAAAAGGGTATTTCAAAGTAAAACACAAGTATGCCATTTTCTGTGCCCATATACAAACATTTAGACTGTTTAGATGATTTTAAAGGATGTCAGCAGGATGTATGTATAAAAATTCAAATTGAGTATAATTTTAAAATACTATGTTCACATTCTAGGGAAAACAGTGGAAAGCTGAGAAGTTTCAGAGCTGCTTTCATGTTGTTTGCCTCATCAATTTTTAGCTTCTGGGGATTAGTTTTTAAATATCAAGTGTCCCAAAATCACTACTTTTTTTTAATGATAAAGAAGTTGGCATGTAAATATTTGGGGACAGACATAATTGCAGCTCTGGCACTTGGCCCAGCTAACAAGTGACCCCATCTTGGAAGATGACATAACCCAGGTCATTTGAGCAGCACGCAGCATCATCATTGTGAATCCACACACTGTAGTCTGCAGACAGCATACCAGCTGTTAAAGCTGACTTACTCTGCCATGTTTTGCAACCATCTGTGCCCAGAGGCCCCACTAACAGCAACAACAACCCACAGCTGCTACCGTACAGTTACACAACTGAAATGACTGCAGATACAACGGGCAAGAGCTCAGGGAAACACAAGCAGGAGTACAAGAAAAGGAGAGACCACCTTAGGCATATCCATCTCTTCATCAAAGGCCCTGAGCTGAAAGAGAACAGAAAGTTTTAGGGGTTAGAGAACGACGCCAGGAGGAGGAAGTTAAAGCTGGGGTTAATGATACAGCATGACATGTTAGCATGTTAGGTGAGTCAGGACTGCAGGAATCATTGGGACACAAAGAAAAGTTGTTTATAAAGTAATATTCCCCAAAATGAGCAGAACTAGTGCAGAAGAGATGACAGTGACAACCTACCGATAATTTCTTAGCATGCTGGATCATCTACTGACATTTCTTTGGAAACATAGACAATAAAGTGCTTAACTATTTGAAGACATAATTTAATACCATCACTTTGTCATGTAAAAACATCATACTAAATACTGCTGCTTACGTTGAAAGACTTGAATGACTTTTTTCACTTTTGTTTCACTTTAACTCTCCGAGGAACACAAGAAATCACTGGAAACAAAACTGAAAACAATACAGTAGTCCCTCGTTTATCGTGGGGGATCCGTACCCTGAAGCCCCGCGATAAGTGAAAAACCATGAAGTAAGAATAGTAGTACAAGTAGTTTATTTTATGCATTTCAAACACTTCCCACACTTTTGCAATATTCTAAACAATGTTTCTAAACTCTAAATGCTCTAAAAGAGCACAGCATGTCATGATCTCAGCTCTCTGCCTCTAGCTGCTCTCTGCCATCTTGCCAGCGCTCTCGGCCACGCCCACTTCTCCGCTGCAGAGCGGAGATATGACACGCTGCAGGAGGAAGCTTCTCCTGCAAGCTGTGGGCTGCACACAGAGGCAGCAGGTGCTAAATAATTTTAAATAATTTATTTGAAATAAAAATTTCATGTCAATCGTGTGGCTCATCCATCAATCAGCCAATTGGGCATCATGTCCAATCTTATTTTGAAAAACAAAGCGAGAAGCAGCGAGGGACTACTGTTTTTTTTGTTGTTGTTTTTTTTCCTTCTTTCAGCTGCGCCCCCCCCCCCCCTTTTTTTAGGAGTCGCCACAGCGAACTAAGTCGCATGAAAAAGTGGCAGTTATTTTTTTTTTACGTTGGATGCCCTTCCTGATGCAACCACAGACAACCGAGCTACCACAGCCCTCTGTGTGGAGCAGAGAGCTGCTATCTAGGACACACGAAGGAGCAGATGGTGGGGGTTAAGGGCCTTGCTCAAGGGCCCAGAGTGGGACGAATGAGGGTGGGGGCAGGTGTGGGTGCTTCACCTACCTCACCCACATTTTTGATGTTGGCGGAACTGGGACTTGAACCGGCAATCTTCCGATCACAGGCCCACCTTCTCTAACCTCTGTGCCACCACTCCCCTAGCGAGGGACTACTGTACTGGAATATAATCCAAGACTAAATGTTCCTTTTACATATATTTACAAAAAGGCCTACCTTATTTACCAACATAAATCCCATTGCAAGCAACAACAATTATACTAGACACATTTTCAAAGTGTATTTATACACCAATCAATGGCAAAAATTACAGCCACTGCCCGTTTAGATGAAAATACTGATTCTCTAATTATAATGGCACCTGGTAGTGTGTGGAAGATTAGTAAGCAAGTAAAAATCCTGTTTATGGAAATGGTGGAATTAAAAAAAGGTGGCTCCACAGCTTGATTGTAGCTGGCAAAGTACAGAAAGGATAATGAGACCATGACTCAGTGATGCATGATGGTTGGCCTGAGCTGTCTGATCCAGAAAAAAAAAACATTTTGTGAATGTATGTAAAATGTCTCACCAACCTGCACTATGCTGCTGAACAAGTACACTCCCTTTATGAAAATAGTGATCCCTCTCAGGATGTTGCACACCACAAAACTGCTAAAATTGCTCAAGCCTTGGGATGATTTAAGGAACTGACTTAGGCCGTGAATTGTCCAGATATTAATCCATTCAAGTATCTGTGAGCTGTGCAGAAAAAACATGTTTGAGCTACAGAGGCCCTATCTCAAACTTTGCAGAATCTGCTACAGACAGTTTCATGAAGTGAAAGTGTTTACTGTCATCATTGTATGTGTTCTCTGCACTTAACTCATCGCACATGTGAGACACACACAAGTGGGGAAGTGGGGAAGCGATTAGTGTCTTGCTCAAGGACACCACGACATATAGGTATGACTGGGGATCAAACCTGCAACATTCCTGTCCCAAGGGGGCTGCCCTACCACTGTGCCACAGCCGCCAGAAACTACAGTGGATGCAGAAAAGTCAGGAGTATTTTAGTGATATAAATAATATGAATCAACTGGCCTGAACTTTGTATAGCTGATCAGTGTACAGTGTATGATTTAAAGCACTCGAATGCACATTTCTGTTGTTGTATGTTGTGTCATTATAAATGTGTCGCCAGTCCTACCTTCTCTCCATAACCTCTGTCTTTGGTCATCATCTCCCGGAGCGTTTGCAGAACTTTGATACACAGTCTCTCTTCATTTTCCTCCACCAGCTGCTTGGTATGTTTGATCAACCTTACACACACGTATGCACACGTTATTCCCCAAGATTGAAATATATAGTAAATTAGGCTGAGAAATAAATCTATATCTGCATTGCTTACTTGCATATAAAACCCCCGCTCTCACACTTCTTGCGTGAGTCTGTGTTTTCAGGAAAGAGCAGCTCGGGACGATGCAGCACGTCCACCAGGACCGAGAGCTCAGCCTGCACCAGTGGACGCAGACGGTCCTCCAAAGCTGACACAATGTCCTGACAATAAATATATATGTTTTTGTGTGTGGAAATTAATGGGAACAAGTACTGTACTTGCTGCCGTAAACATTGCACCTCCATATAAGTCGCATCAATCCAAATATGTCTAATAAAATGAAAAAAAACAAATACGTAGCTTCAACGTATAAGTTGCATCTACTATGCGTCACCGCTGACGCGTCGTGTTTGTTACGCGTCACCGCTGACAATCTGGAAATGTGGGCCGGTGTTGTGCCAAAAATCGATTGGCTGCTAAATGGCAGACGCGGGAGAGTGCACGGGAGGACTTAAACAAGAATTTAACAAGATTAACACTTAAAAACAATTATTTGTTTGCTCAAAATTACAGCAAAAGTGTGTCTCAGTTTAACTTTTACTTAATAAATGCACTTTAATGGTCAAATCAGCTGCATTTTGCCTGGGCGACACGACAAAATGTAGCTGATTTGACATTGCTCCAGGTGTTCCGGTGCGAGACAAATGTGCCTTGTATGGCAAGCCAAGTGTCTCATTAATAGCCACTTTTACCTATTAATGAGACACTCGGCTTGCCATATTGCTCGAGGGCCCTCTAGTGGCTGAAAATGGTAGTGTTCAATATTTTCCATGTCAGAATGAATGAAATCTTCAGATCTCAGCTAAAAATTGGGTTATAAATATGGAGAAAAAAACATAAATAAGTCGCTTCACTGTATATGTCGCAGGAGTTGCAAATTTATGCAAAAGACTGCAACTTATACTGCGAAACATACAGTAAGTAAAAAGATACCCAAACCCAAAATCCCAAAGAAATGAAACTGGACTTCTGTTTAGCAGTTGGTTCTCTTCGCTTTGTTTCCCATTCAGGGACTTTTCTTGATTTAAAAAAAATTATTTGATTTGATTCATATGCATATTCTTATTAATATTTAATATACAGGTCTCTCTTGAAAATTAGTCATCGCAACTCAATGAGACTAACCTGTATAAATAAAGGTTGAATGAATATGCATATTGAATTCACACCCCTCATAATGGAGAGTTTTTGTTTGCCTGGCTCACACAAGAGATGCTCTGGTCCTGCATGAAGGTGCTAATTACAGTGGAAATGATTGGGTATCAAGCTTAATGCTCCTTTGCACACTTTAGAAAGCTGAATCTGATGGCGGACTGAGAATCCACAGCAGCCGTACCTGCAGCCTCTCAATGATATTCCTGTAGTCCCTCGATGTGGTCACTACTGATTCCCGGCGGGTGGAGTTTCGAACAGAGAGTCTCCAGCTCAAGGCTGTCTTCTGAACAATGTTGTTAGATTTCACAAACAGGTTGTTCACCTGGTTGTCCAGGTCCACAGGGATGGCTATTGCTCTGCTTTTAGCTGGTTTGTGCACAAGGACACACAGATTATGTAGACTACTGGTTATGAATGTTTTTAAAAAATGAAAGCAAGTGTTTAGTAAAGTATTGATCTTACCAACATCTGAGAGGACTTTGATACAGTTCTCAACAAAACCCTTCTGGACTGAGTTCAACCAGTGGCAGTGATAAACCCTGAACACAGCCTGCAGCAGCTGCACAAACACCGGCTGCCTGGTCTGAGAGAAAGACAAATATATTTAAATGACAAGTGTAAGAAAAACATTCAATCATGAAATTACACAAACACATGACTAAATCTGAAAGTAGAGATAGAAATACAGTAGTCCCTTGTTTATCACGAGGGATCCATTCTCTGAAGCCCCACGATAAGTGAAAAACCGTGAAGTAGGAATAGTACAAGTAGTATCCAGTATACAAGTAGTAGTTTGAGTATTTTTATATTGTATGTATATATACTTTGTGTATATATATATATATATATATATATATATATATATATATATATATATATGTATAAAGGTGTTTTAAACCCTTCCCACACTCTTGCAATATTCTAAACAATGTTTCTAAACTAAACGCTCTAAAAAAAAAGCACAGAATGACATGATTTACGTCTCTCTGCCTCCACTGCTCTCAGCCACCTGCAAGCGCTTTCGGCCACGCCCACTTCTCCGCTCTGCACGCAGATCAGCTGTTCAGCTGCAGCAGGAAGTTTATCCTGCAGTAAGGGCTGCACAGAGACGCAGGAGGAAGCTTTTCCTGCAGCTCTGGGCTGCACAAATGTGCAGCAGGTGCTAAATAATTTAAAATAATTTATTTTAAATAAAAATTCTATGCCAGTCGTGCAGTTCATCCATCAATCAGTCAATTGTGTGTCATGTCCAAGCTTATGTTGAAAAACCGCAACAGAGTGAATCCGCAATAAACGAACCACAAAGTAGCGAGGGACTACTGTAACATGCATTTTTTAATACAGTAAAAATTAATTTCCTTCTCTTTTTTGTTTTTTTTAGTTTTTAGATGTGTACTTTCACTATGGCTGCTTTAGTTACTTTCTTATGCACTTACTGAGAATAAAGGGAAAAAACAACTTATGACAGCTTATGTCAGCTGGGAAAAACATTTAAACCAAAGCAATAAAGAAACAGCTTTCCAAGAAAGAAAAAAAAAACCTTTAAAGTAAAGATAAAGTATCATTAGCTCTTTAAAAAAAATCATTTTTAAACTATATATTTAATGATGGGAATTTTCAATAGTTCTTCCTAGTTTTGACTGGGGCGGCTGTGGCTGAGTGGTTTGAGCAGTCGTCCTCCAATGCAAGAGTTGGGGGTTCGAATCCACCAACCGTAACATGCCGAAGTGTCCCTGGGCAAGACACTGAACCTGCATTGCCTCTGATGTGTGTCCCATTGGTGTATGAATGTGATCTAAAAAAAAGCACTGATTAGTCTCATTAGAATGATTTGTTTAATTAGCTTTGTAGAGATCTAGTAGAGTGCTGTATGAATGGGTAAATGAGGGCACAGATTGTAGTGTAAAGCGCTTTGAGTATTTTGATCACATAGAACGGAGCTGTACAAGTACAGTCCATTTACCATTTACTTGTCACTTCAGTAGTACAGAGAATAAATTTAAAGGTAAAGTAGGATTAGATAAAGAGAGGGGGTGTGATTTTCTTCACCCAACAAATCAGAATGATTCATTAAGACACCCCAAAGTTCATGCTCAATAATCCAGGTACAAATTCAACATTCAGTCAGGTCATCTGGACAGTTAAAAATTTATTTTATTTTTTTTCCCGAGACGTTTCATCCTTCATCCAAAGGACTTATTCAGTCCAAGGAGCCACAAACAAACTGGAGTCCCACAAATGCCACACACCCATAGTGGAAAAATCCAGTTTGCTGGTGATAAGATGGTTTCTGAGGCGCGACCTCTCCCCCGTCAACTCTTCGGAGGCAGCCATGCCAAAATGGGCTGAGATATTTCATTCTTCATACAAAGGACTTCTTCAGTCCGAGGAGCCACAAACCTCCTCAAAGGAGTTGACGGGGGAGAAGGCAGGCCCCCATAAACCATCTTATCACCAACAAACTGTTTTTTTCCACTATGGGAGTGTGATATTTGTGGGACTACAGTTTGTTTGTGGCTCCTCGGACTGAAGAAGTCCTTTAGATGAAGGACGAAACGTCTCAGAAAAAAAAAAAAAACCGTTCAGATGACCTGATTGAACATTGTTGGAGTCATTAAGATATTTTAAAGGACCACAAAAATTCTAGGGGTGTTATTTTTTTCTCTTCTCAAGCACAGAACAAGTTATATTTTTGCAAATATTTCTCCTGTAAAGAAACTGTAAATGTTTCTGTGATGTGACACAGTTACCTGCAGGCTGGTGCTCTGGTCAGAGAACGGAGAGCTGAAGAAGGTGGTTGCGATGCTCATAACCGTCTCAGTCACGTAGCGCTCCAAAATGGCGTCAGCATGCTTTCGATCACTTGTGTTGTTGCACACCTAAACAAAACAGCAACGTCAGAATGACATTTTATTTAGATTTGGTTGTTTCTAAAACAGCTCTTATTTCTTAAGTAAAGCAAATGAGATGTTTCTTACTATGCAAATGTCAACAAGGAAGTTATCGAAAAGTTTCCACATGTGGTTGGAGGTGTAGATCTCCTTCATTTCAACCTCAGTGTCGACATAACAGTGGTTGAGAAAGTTGATGTAGGCGATCTTCACCTGAAAGATTTTAGGTACGGTTAACTTCCAGTCAAATGCAACAAAGAACAATTAGTGATAAAATATGCTCTTTTAAATCTACCACTACAGTCACTTAAAATAATAAAATCAGGAATATTTTAGCATTTTTTTCACAAGACCTTTTGTTTCTCACAAATATCAAGTCTTTAGACCAGTTTTATTAGATTTTTTTGGAGGACCAAATCACCTCAGGGATACAATCCTCATGGGTCACAATCCGCACTATGTCATCCAGTGGTAACAGAGAGTTACATTTGATCTCTGTGTAGACGTTCTTGCCCTCGGTGCAGACAGCCAAAAGCTCCACCAGGTGGATGTGGTACATCAGCGGACTGTTCTCATCCATGCGATCCCGCTCGGATCGCATCATCTGGACGAGAGTCTGGAAGGAGGCGCGATCATTGTAGAAGACCAAAACATCTTCTCCTGCATTCACAAGCTGTGAAGGGAACAACAAAATAAATATTACATGAAACGTTACATTCATTCAACCTTTATTTATACAGGTTAGTCTCAATGAGTCACGAGGACTGATTTACAAGAGAGCCCTGTTTTAAACAAAGAACCATAAATGAGGTACACACAACAATAGACATTCATATGAAAGCATATAAACTGAAATAAAAAAAACTAACTACATTATAAAACGGTGTAAGATGCTAAAAACAGGAACATGTCTGCATTGGTTTTTTGCTATGAACTCAACAGTACAGTTTAAAATCCTTTTGAGGTCAAGGTTGAGAGCTTCAGATCTTTTTGCAAGGTGTTCCAGGTTACAGGAGCAGAGTAGGAGAAGGCCCTTTTGCTGAATTCAGTCTGCACTGAGGGAACACTGCAGGTAATAATGTCCTGAGAGCACACACTGTAGCTGCACTGACGACGTGACATGTAGGAGGATACAGTATATAGACTAACACGTGATTTAAAGATGAAAATGTACCAGTGAGAGAGTCTGCGTGAAGTTATTGATGACCAGTTAACCAGTGAGTACAGGGTGCAGTGATGGGTACAGTAGTTACAGCCAGTTATGAATCTTAGCACGCCATGGTAGACAGCAACTAACATTTGCAGGGTGTTTGTAGGAGCATTCATGTAATGTCACCATTGTCAATGGACGGAAGGAAAGTCGCAGTTAGAAGGCATTTCCTAGCGTTCAGAGTCAGACAAGATCTATTTCTGAAAAAGAAACCCAATTTAACTTTCAATTTCTTTACCAAGTTTTCGACGTGAGGCTTAAAAGAGAGATGTGCATTGACCAAAATTCCCAAGTATTTGTAAGAATCGATGAAGTCAATAGGAACACCAGTCGTATATAAGATAGAAGGAAGGACTGCTGGTACCGACTTCCTGTTTGAAAACAACATCCCTTTGGTTTTATTAGCATATAGCACCAGTTTGATATGGAAGAAATCTGACCTGACTATGTCTAAAGCAGACGGTAAAAGCTGAAAAACCTTAGCAACTGTTCTAGCTCGACAATAAACTACACTACTGTGTCATTGGCATAGAAATGTTGGCATCCAGAATGATCTGACCTAAAGTATTTATGTAGATTGTGAAGAGGGTGGGACCTAAGACTGAGCCGTGTGGTACACCATTATTGAAAGTTAAATAGCAGGAAGATGTACCATTATGTTGGACACATTGCCTTCAATCTGAAAGGTAATTCGAAAATCAACCGATAGTATGGTCTGTGAAACCAATTTCTGAGAGCTTATGGCATAACATGTCAAGGCCCACAATGTCAAAAGCTTGAGACAGGTCTAAGAAAAGTGTGGCACAATAGTCCTTAACATTCAGTGCTTCAACAATTTCATTAAAAACCTTCAGCGAAGCAGTCAATGTGCTGTGTTGTTTCCTGAAATCAGATTGATGGGAAGATAAGATGTTAAAATAATCCAAACACTTCATGACTTGAGAGTTTAGCAATTTTTCTAAAACCTTAGCAAGAATACAGAGTTTAGAGATCGGCCGATAGTTGTTCTGTATAGTGGGGTCTCCTCCCTTCAGTAAAGGTAGAACAAAAGCAGGCGTTTGGAACAGTATTATGGTTTATGGACAAATTAAAGATGTGCGACACCAGTTCTGCTATGATTTGAAACAATTCAGAATTTAAATTTTTTTTCATTTACCTTTATTTATCCAGGTAGTCTCATTGAGCCATGAGAACTCATTTTCAAGAGACCTGTTTAGGGAGCAGATGGGGGTTAAGGGCCTTGCTCATGGGCCCAGAGTGGGGCAAATTAATGAGGGTGGGGGCAGGTGTGGGTCCATCACCTACCCCACCCACATTTTTGATGTTGTCGGTACCGGGGCTTGAACCAGCGATCTTCGGATCACAGGCCCACCTTGTCTAACCTCTGCGCCACCACATCTCCTCATCTCTCATGAATCTCATGCTTAATTACATTACATGATGCCCAAGAAAATCAGTAAAAAGCAGTGTTTCAGAAACTAGGCACACCTCGGCCATGACGATGTCCTGACACTTTTTAATAAACTTGTGCTCTGCTTTGACGATCGTCTGTAGGAACTTGAGGTACTGAACGCTGCGGCCGTGCGTTTCAATGCAGTGGACGAAGTGCTGAACCACGCGCTCGTTTATCTCACTGCACAGCTGGAAGTTGTTCATGAAGATGTGCTGCATGGTGACAGCTTCAAGGATCTGGAAGAAAAAAGAAAGTTGTTGCTTTAGGGTCAAATATTAGTTTGAGTCAATGTGAAATCAGAAAGCACAACTGACCCCTGGATTGAGGAAAAGGTTGACGTGTTTATGAAGCAGGGTTTGGTTCTGTGGGTTTCCTGCGCAGAAGTTCTGCAGGAACTGATGAGCGAGCTTCATTATAGCCTGCATACGCAAATCTTCCCCCTGTAGGGAAAACATACCCGATTTAAACGATTGTCCACAGAGGCACAAAATAGTAAAAACATTTAAATAAAACCTATAAAAACCTTTTCATAGGGAATCTGTAGCAGCTCGAGAACCACAGTGTGAGCCCCCATGTTTCTGAGCAACCTCTGCTGCTGCTTCCTGCTCTTCCTACCCGACAGACCCTCTTGGATACACAACCTGCTGAGACGCAGCAGGATCTATGAAGGAAACACAAAAGAGAAAAACTGAACAAATGAAGATTTAGTATGTTTGGAAAGGCTTTGCTGTGCAACAACATAAGACAGTGATATCAGTAATAACAGTTACCTCCTTTACAATCCTATAGTTGTAACTGCTCGTGCTTTCTGCTTTCATTGGTTTGTCAGTGGTCCCTGAGTCATCCTGCAGAACACAACACAATAAAGTGTAACCAAATATGACCTGGCTGTCATATATTAGTTTTTCACAACAATAAATGTGTCGCACCTTTTTAAGTTCTGGCATCTCTCCTACATCCATGCTCTCGTCTGGCCCCTGCCTTTTATAAACCCAGAGCTCTGATTTCTCTACAATCGAACGCAGTTGGTCCAGATCAGACTTTATCTGCTTGTAATTATCCACATCCTGGCTGGTGACCAGCAGCTGCACCTGTTCATACACAGAGTTGATGCAATAAGGAGGAAATAATTAGCAAAACTACACAGATTCCAGAAAAATGTTATTGTATAGATCCGTTTAGGTGTGAACACACTCAATGACTGATGTCAGAACATCACGTTGATTATTGTCTGCTGCCATGAAAGGAAGGTAATTGCCAATCTGTGTGAATTATTTCTGTTTCTTAGCAAGACACCTTATAGGCCAGTGGATGGATTTTCATTAAATTCTGAGAAAGTAATCATTAGATGTGCATCTACAACTGAATAACTGTTGAGCCAACTCAATTCAAGATCGCTGCCGCTGCCAATCAACCTTAGCAAACACAAAAAATGCTCTAAGCCAGTCAATTTTACAGATATAAAGCTAAACTTTTGTGTGGTAGTACCTGATAGTTGCCCGTAACATACACTTTGAGTGCAAACATCTTGTGTAAGATCTTTGTTTAAAACTTTGACATGCAAGGAGAGCAATATGCATTCCTTTAAGGAAGTCTAGTTTCATTTCAAACAGCATTTCAATGTTTTGAAACTTCACAATATTACAGTATGTTAGTTGTTGGATTACCATGACTGTGGTAAGTACAGAGAAATGTTCACCTGTAGTAGGTGTACTAATTATAGTTTAAATAGTTTAAGTTTTGCTATGTACAGCTGGGCTACCTGCTTGAATGCCTGAAGGACCTCCTGTCTCTGGCTGAAATGCCTGAAAAGCAGATGCAGGGCTCTGGACACCAGAGGAGGATAGTCATGCATGGTTAGGTGGAGCAGGACTCTCAAAAAGGTCCGTCCACCTTGATCGTCCAGGTCCAGTGGAGTGTTCTCTTCACTATACGTACACAGATAGATCCACAGATAATCAAATAGGCAAACTTCTTTTTTTTGACTTAGTGTTTGTGAAATAAAAGTACCTTCCACCAAAGATCCCCTCTGCCTGCTCTTCTATGCGTTCGAAATCCAAAGCCCCTGGAATGGTAAGAAGTTAAAGGTCACTACAGAAATGGCATTTTTTGTCAAAATGTCATGTGAGTGCTAAATGACTTCACTGAAGACACAGAAACTGAGTTGTTAAAGCAGCAGAAAAGTAGATAAAAGCTAAAGTGAGCAAAAGTAAGGCTAAAAGCAGCAGAAGTTTATCTTAACTAAAAGTAATAAAAGGCTCGCTAAATGTAACAAAAGGTTAGCTAAAAAATACAAGTTGCAAAGAGCTAGCTTAAAAAACGTAGCAAAAGGCTAGCTAAAATTAGCAGAAAAATACAAAATTAGAGCAAGTATGCTAAAGGAGCTTTCAAACCAGGGCTTAATTTGAGCCGGATCCTGTCGGAACAGGATCTGGGAACTCTTATTTTGACAGGGTGTGTTCCGGCAACTGTTTGCTTGGATCCAGCAACTCTCAGGTTTACTAATAATAAAGTTATGAACAAATATGACTGCAATGAAAAAATAAAACTTATATTGGATATGTAAACTGAAAATAATTACATAAACACTAATTTTAAACACACCAGATGACAGAACACGACTTCTTAATATCACATACGAATCATCTGCCCCTTCAAATGAAGCATTTCCACTTCTACCCTTAAAAAAAATCTCTGCCCCTAAAAGGGTGGTGGGAGTGAGTACCTGGAGTCAGATGGTGAATTCAGCAGAGAAGAGTCAGCTCTGAACCATCAAGTGTGGGGGGTGGTAGGATGCGAGTGTTTACAAACGTAGGTAAACGTAGATGTTTAACAACCCGTTAAAATACAGCAGTCCCTCGCTACTTCGCTGTTCGTTTATCGCGGACTCGCCCTATCGCGGTTTTTCAAAATAAGATTGGACATGACACACAGTTGGCTGATTGATGGATGAGCCGCACAATCGGCATGGCATTTTTATTTTAAAAAAATATTTTAAATTATTTAGCACCTGCTGCACCTTTGTGCAGCCCACACTGCAGGAAAAGCTTCCTGCTGCAGTTGATCAGCTGATCTCAGTGCAGAGCGGAGAAGTGGGCATGGCCGAGACTGCTTGCAGGTGGCTGAGAGCAGCCGGAGGCAAAGAGCTGAAATCATGACATTCTGTGCTCTTTTAGAGCCAACCCAGCCGGCCCATCCACTATTTATGTTCCAGCGTCGATCAGTTTGAAATTAAGCCCAGTTTCAAAGAGCCTATTTTTGAAGGAGCTGAAAAAAGCTTGATCTATTTCTGAGGAAAACATTTCTGAACAAGACAAATATTTTGAAAAATATTTAAAAAAAAAAATTTTTTAAAGCCTTAGATGAGCTGAATATTCAGATGTACAAATTGCTAAAATGACACAAAGTATGCAGAAGTATTTGGATTGCAAAAAATGTACACAAAAATAATAATTAAAAAACAGCAAAGCAATAGCTGACAGCATTCTCACAACAGTCAAAACTTTACTGTTTCCACCCCAGGATATAACATTTCTCATTGTTAATCTGACCTGGCATAGTGTTTGGACTGTCTACTGAACCAGGTAAACATATCTCATTCTGGGAGTTACTCTCATCAAACTCTCGCTTGAAGATGGACAGAAGACAGGAGATCCTGTAGTCCAGACGGACATTCAGGATGAACTAAAGGACAGAGAAGAAAAAAATAATTTGCTGCATTTCTTCTCCATATTTATATGCATTTAAGTATACAATAAAACATGCTTCACCTGCAGGATCTCAATAATCTTGAGCTTGGTGTCCATGACCAGAATGTTCTGTTTCTCAGGTTCGATCTGCGCCTTCACATCGTCTCCATCCGAGCTCCTGTTGGAAGGCGTTGGAAGGAAACCACCTCCTCTCAGGACAACTTGGGACATCAGCTCTCCTACACCATGAATGGATCTCATCACGTTACTCCCTGGAAACATGTGCACACATAGAAAGCTGATGTCCATCCATTTTTTGCTCCCCATTGACACACTGAGAACATTTTTACCTTTGTTTTCCTCTCCTTTGTCCAGCTTGCAGAAAGCAAAAATGGGGTTCACGTGGACACAATCTAAAATAGCTAGCAAGATTTTGGTGAGTCTGAGCAGATCACTGAAGTTGTAAAAGCCAAAATAGATCAGGTTCCTGGCAAGATTCACCACCTAATCAAGGAAAATAAATGTCTTTATGTGAAATGTTCTCTATAAACACGTTCATTCTGTTGTGAGAGTGGCTGAGTCAGACTGACCTCAAAGGTGAGCTTGTTCTTTTCTTTGTGTGTAAAAGGAAAGTTCTGACACACCACATCTCTCAGGTAGTTCTCAACAAACTCCATCGTCTGGGAGAATCGCTCTTTAATTTCATCTTTAGATGTCCCATCGTTGTCATAGCTATTAGACAAATTAAGAATAGTTGATTTTTCTGCTGAACTCATTGGACGCGCTTTACAAGAATTGTATTCTTACTCATTGATCTCGATTTCTGAGGGGATCTCGGACCAAAGCCGTGCGTATTTGACTGGCGTGACCTGCTCCTGAGGGTCCCGGTCCACGTGCATGTGGAGCATCAATCTGCAGAAGGACGCCCGCAGGTCAAAGGGCAGATCTTCGTCAGACATGCACCGCAAAATCAGGTCAACGTCCAGCTGGCCAGAGATCTTGTTGATTGCCAAATACTGACGGTCCAAACACATCCTGGCAAACAGGTTCAGTTGATACCTGAAGGGTTTACAAACAATATGTTTAATCAACCAGCCCATTTTTTCCCCCCAATTCAATTCAGTTTATATAGTGCCAAGTCACAACAAAGTCATCTCAGGACACTGAACAGAAACATCCATATATGTACAAAGTAAACACTATGAAAACTATTCAATTGTAACAATTCATTTTAAGAAATGTAGTCAATTTGTCCTCCAGTAGTCTACGCCTGTGGCAGCATAACAAGCCAACACTAACTATCAGAATCATAATCAGAATCAACCTTCAATGTCATTGCACAGAACACAACGAAATTACATTTCAGTACAGCCGTCCAAAGAAAACAACATGGGTAGACGGGGATGCCTGAGGCTGCAGCCTCGTGGGAAACGCTGTCCTTTTTGTTTACATAAGGAAAAAGGAAAGCATGAGGAAATAGGAGGTATAAAAAAATCATATCTCAAACTGTGTCCTTGACGGGACACAGTGTGAGGTTGCAAAAACACCTCAGCACAAGAAAAAGCAACATAATGGTGACATAAAGACATATGCATGTGGAGTGGGTGAGGGTAGGGGTCCCAGCACAGGCCGCCCAAGAGAGCGACGCAGCTACTGGCGCCTTCGCATCTACCTAGGTTGCTGCACTGGGCAGTGCAAAATGAAGGAGGCCAGCGAAGGCGGTGAATTTGAGGGGAAGTAGTCCGTGAACACTGTCCAGATAACACTGGACAGTGTTATCCTATCCAGCTTGTCCTATCCTATAGGACAGTAACACTGTCCTATAGGATAGGATATGTCCTGTAGAAAAGGGAAAGTCTTAAGCCCAGTCTTACAACTGGATAACGTGTCAGCCCTAGGGACAGAAACTGGAAGTAATTTTCACAAAAGAGGAGCCTGTTAACTGAAAGCTCTTCCTCCCATTCTGCTCTTGGAAACTCTAGGCACCAAAAGTAAGTCTGTAGTCTGAGAGCAAAGTGCTTTGTTAAGAAAATATGGGACAAGATCGGTACTATAAGATGGAGCTAGGTTGTTGAGGGCTTTGTAGGTTAGAAGTAAGATTTTGAATTAAATTCTGGATTTGACAGGGAGCCAATGGAGAGAAGCTAAAATTTTTCAAAGGTCTCCAACATACAAGGCACAGTAATTACCTGTAGTAACTGACCACTTCCTTGTCCTCCTTCTGGCCCTCCTTTGCATCCTGGGCCAGCTCCCTGATGCTTTTACTGCGGATCTCCTTGTTGCCGTCCTTCCAGAACAGCCACACCTCCTCCTCATCCTCCTCTGACTCCACAGAGTTCTCCCCGATCTGCACCGCCTCAATCTCAAACCGTGACAGCACCAGTCTGAAAGATGTTTTTAAGGAGAATCAAATATTAAAAAGTCCCTGAGTTGTGTCAGTTGGGGGAGATGTGAAAAAAGACGTTACGGTTCAATTAGTAAGAACCTGGAGGGGACTCACTTGGTTTCTATGAGGATGTCTGCGTTTGCAGGTTCCAGCACCGCGTTACAGATGAGTTCTTGTGTCACGGGGATGGATTTGTTCATCGACACACACAAGTCTGACAGGTAGTCCAAAAACCTGGACACAAACACAAGAAACACTAAAATTCAATAAGTCATGACTTGTTCAAAATAAAATTAACTACAGCTGGTCATCTACAAAATAAATATCCAGCTACTCCTTCCAAAATGTTTCATTTAACTATTTCAGTGAAGCTTCATTAGATGGCCGCTGATGGTTTACAGCTCCGCTGATTTGAAAACACAAACCTTGGCTCGCGGTTCTTGCGGACTAGGCTCACAAACGTGTCGATCTCTGCAGCTGTGATGTGCTTCTCCAGCAGCTTGCGGTTGTTGTGGAGCAGAGCCGTGATCGTGTCTTCTGCCAGGACGTCGTAGCCGATCTGTTTCTGCATGAAGCGAAACTGCTTGGCGATATATTCCTGCAGGAACGGAAAAAAATGTAAACATCCTGGCAGAAAAACTTTTAAAAATGACATCACTAACATGATTTATTAACTGTCCTAAATATAGATCCATTAAATTTATTGACTTTATGTTATTGAGGACAATAATCACCTCATTGAAAATAATTATTTAAAAAGGAAAAATACAGCAGTTAAAAGGCAAAAACCTAGCAGGTTAATAAGACTGCACAATATTAGATCATTGATTAAGTCCCATCTGTTTACGGTGTATTAACTATCAAAAATCAAAATCTGTGGAAAAAAATCTTTTCTACTGTTTGTTTTGCCTCAATCAATGATCAATATTTTAGTTTCTATTTTTTTACCCTTTATCCAGGTAGTCTCATTGAGCCATGAGAACTCATTTTCAAGAGAGACCTGTTTAGGGAGCAGATGGTGGGGGTTAGGGGCCTGGAGCGAATGAGGGTGGAGGGACGTGTGGGTGTTCCACCTTTTCCACTCATGCTTTGATGTTGACGGTACCGGGAGTTGAACCTACGACTTTCTGATCACAGGCCCATCTTCTAACCTTTGCGCCACCACTCCCCTTCATTTTGATTTTCTATAATTTACCAATGTACTTTCATTTGCCTATGTAAGGACAATTTTAACATGAAAAATGGCAATTTTTTAAATTTGTATGGCTTTCATTCATTTTTCCTTCTATCAATTTATGCTTTATAATTATTCTTTACAATGATGGTGGTCTTACATTGAACTCTATTTGACAGAATTCATTCTTTTTTGTGTTTCTTGTTTTGATGCTTACTCTAACAATGCGTGTGAGAAAATATCAATTTCACATTTATGAGCATTTTTTTAACAGCATCAACTTGAACCACACTGGCTCTATGTTTGTGTATCACCACTCTTCAATACTAGAAAATACACGTGGTTGTGACATTACTGATAATTATTTTCATGATGATATAATTTGTGATTAACCTCAATTTTCCTCACGTCTCTTTTTATGTTCTGATGCTTCTTTAGATTTTGGTCATTTGATCCTCTGAATCAGCTGGAAACCCTTGGAGCAGAGGAGGACTTTGTATTGCCATGACTTTATGTATTGTATTGACTTTTGTATCATCTAGTTTCCATCATTTATTGCACACCTTTGTAATATTGATACTGTGATGCGGATAAAATGTTTAATTTATTGCAATACTTTCATTAAAATCAATGAATGTGGGATTTTCGGTGGTTCGTGAGATATTTTGCTTGCAGAGAAGCAGGGTGATTCCAACGATAAGTACCAGCGGTCTAGACAAAAAAATCTAATAAAAAATTTGTTCAACTGCTCCCTTCTTCAGGGCTCGCCACAGCGAACCAGCTCACTCAAAGACTTGACGAATATTTTTATGCCGGATGCCCTTCCAGATGCAACCACAGACCACCGAGCTATCACAGCCCTCTGTGTGGAGCAGAGAGCAGCAGTGTGGGGCGCCCAGGGGAGCAGATGGAAGGGGTTAAGGGCACAGAGTGAGGCAAATGAGGGTGGAGGCACTTCACCTTTCCCACCCATATTTTGAAGTTGTTGGTCAAGGGGATCGAACCAGCAACCTTTCGAAAGCAGGCTCACGTTCTCTAACCCCTGCACTCTACCACTCCCCCACAGTACCAATGGTCTAGACGCACAATTAGATTAGATAGAACTTGATTGCTCCCTTGGGAAGGACTCCTTCAGGGAAATTAAAATTCCATCAGCATTGTACATGTGGTAAAAAGGGACAGTTAGCAAATATAAAAATGCAAACCAATTAAAGATAAATAAAATTATACACACACGTATATACATATTAAGATAAATAATATCGTATAACCAGTTTAAAGCTAGGGCGGTGGTGACTGCTGCTCCTTCACTTGCATCACTCAGTGTCGGGACAACGCTCTTCCACACCACATTTTAGCTCAATAGCTGTAAAACTGACTGAATTATAGCCATTTCTTGTTTCCTAAATTTAATTAGCTGTGGTGGCAATCTTAAATTCAAAACTTAGTAAGTTCTGTAAGTTTTAAGTTTCATGTAAAATTCAACCAATGGTGTACAAATGTATTTGCTAACTGATAAAAGCATGAACACAGATGCACAAAATCATTTTTCCCTTTTGGTAAGAGGCCAGTTTGAACAAAACAATCAGTCACATTAAAGAATAAAGGAATATTAAGTTTTATTGTTTTAATGTTGCAAGAGAACAATGGTTCAGACAGTTATAGTAACATATGGCGCCGGTGCTACCTGGTTTTTGCGGTAGTCTTGCTGAGAGTGACGTAAAACTCGATAACACAAGCGGCAGATGTGCCTGAAGGGGGCGTGCCGTTGATCAGCCAACTCCTCCAGTCTCAGCATGGGCCCATCGCCGCTGTCTGTGAACGGAGCCTGCAGCAGCTTAAAGATCTAAAAATAGATTAAAGAAGATTTGGTAATAACTGTAATTGCACTGAGGCTGAAGTTAAAATGTGGCATGATGTAAGCAGTCCGCTCTGACTGAGTTACAGACACCAGAAGTCAGGTGAGGCTACACAGTAGAACATAACGTTTGTTCAAAACTCAAGAATTTTGTGAGTTAATCCGTCACCTGTTTGAGAATATTCTGTTCTCGCATGAGCTTCTGTCGCTCCCTGTTGGGTTTGTTCACCATGATCTCCAGAACGTCCTGCCCATTGTTGGGAATGTCCACTACAAAGAACACCAAATCCTCGAGGAGCTTAGTAACTGCCCTGAAAACACACACAAAACAATAACACAACGATCTGTCCTGGACATGTACCGTTCTACCTCCATGTGTATTTTCTACCTCCTCTCATTTTGAGTGATGGTGCCTTTCTCCAGCTTTCCAGCGATGGATGCCAGAACTTTACTGGCATCGTTTGCAAAATCAAGGTCTCTCACTTCGGCTGGGGAGACGGGAACGATGGCAAAAGCCTCTTTGTCCTCTTTGAGAGCAGATGTGCCAATCTTCAACAAAAGGTAAAAAACAATGTGCAACTTTGTCTTGTATCAATGGAAATTATAATATTTTGGAGTATTTATGATTTGTTTTAGAAACATAAAAAGCTCTAATAAAGGTTCAGTAATATTTCAATGTAAATCCAAAAGCACAATGATTGGAAGAAAAGAGAATATTTTACATTTTTAAAGAGCTGTTTATTATGCAAAGTATCACTGGCCCAATAATTCAAAATGTCCAAAATTAATATAAGTCTAAAGGAAATGAACAATTTACTGTATAAGAAACATAACTTACACGCAGCATGACTGGCTTCTCCTCCTCTTTGTCAATGGGCTGGTTGGTGCTGTGAACCCATGTGTTGGTGCACAAGTGTCTGAGGCGCACGTACGAGTTTCTGAAGAAACATTTACAATTTTTGGTGTAAGTTTAGATGCTTTTTTCCCCCACATTGTGTTCACTTGAGATAAAAGCTGATCCTTTAAAAAAGTAATTTCAAAATAAAAACATCAACATTCAATTGTGGTTTTTTTCTGGGTTCTCTGGTTTCATCCCAGGGCCAAAAACATGCATGTTCAGAATGCGTTCAGGCCCAGGCCTCCCTTGAAAAATATATCTGATCTTGATGCCTTATTAAATAAATGTTAAATAAAATATATAAACAAGTCAAATATTATCAATGTAAAAAAGCAGCCATAATGTCAGCATTAGAGCCCACTGGTGAAAGATACTAATGATATTCTCATGGCCTCTGACAAAGGACAGGTGTCTATACTGGTCCTGTTAGATCTCAGTGTTAAATTTGATCACAATATTCTACTAGAAAAACTTGAATATGATATTGGAATTGCAGAAATAGCTCTAAAATGGTTTAAATCATATTTATCTGATAGGATTCCAGGTTGTAAATGTAAATTATGAATCTTCTTCATACACAAAAGTTAATCATGGGGTTCCTCAGGGTTCAGTGTTTGGATCAATACTCTTTACTTTATATATGCTTCCATTAGGTAAAGTTATCAAACAGCATGGGATAAATTTTAATTGTTATATGTTGATGATACACAATTATATTTGTCCATGAAACCCAATGAATCCAATCAGCTACTTAAGACTACAAGCATGTATTAAAGACACAAAAACCTAAATGACCCTAAATTTTCTGCTTTAAACTCAGACAAGACTGAGGTTTTGGTTGTTGGACCTGAGCATCTTAGGAATAAACTTTGCAGTCTTTCACTTTCTCTGGATGGCATTAATTTGGCCTCCAGTTCTAAGGTAAAAAAAAACAAACCCTGGTGTTATTTTTGATCAGGAAATGGCTTTTAACCCGCACATTAAAAAAGTTACCAGGACCGCTTTCCTCCACATGCATAATATCACTAAAATTAGGAACATCTTGTCCAGAAATGATACAAAAAAACTGGTTCATGCATTTATCATGTCTAGGCTGGACTACTGAAATAGTTTATTATTTGGGTGTCCAAATATAAACAAATGTGACCACTCATCCTGAGCCTGGTTCTGCTGGAGGCTTCTTCCAGTTAAAAGGGAGTTTTTCCTTTCCACTGTTGTCTATGTACTTACTCAGGATGGCAGACTGTGACAAAGTGAAGATTCAACACAGTATGCTGGCTTCCTTAGGTAGATAAGTTTTACTAAATGGCTTTTATAATACATGTGAATATTTCTGTTCAGTGCCCTGAGACAACTTCTGTTGTGACTTGGCGCTATACAAATTACCTGAATTGAATTGAACAGACACAGAGTCAGGTCACCTACTTTTATTTATGTGGGTGATAAAAATGCATGTCAAAATCTCAGAATCAGAATCAGAGAAAGGCTGATTTCTCCGCTTATACTGTGGGATGGAACAGTTAAGTAGATAAAAAAAAAATCAGCCCTAATCAGTGGGATTTGATATAGTTAGAACCTACCGGTAATTCATTTTGACTCCGAGTGTCTAAAGAACACTGGATACAACAAAAAAGGTTGAATCATGTCATCTGGACTTCGTTTTTTTGTTAAAAAAGAAACGTTTCGCCCCTCCTCCAAGAGGCTTCGTCAGTCTGAGGCCTAGCCATCTGGTATTACCCAGAAGCCACCCTGACACAA